AGAAGTATAAATCACCTATATCCCACAACCCAGCACTAACCACTGTTAATATACCATTCTTGGTGTACTTCCTTAAAATCTTTTTTTCTACACTTGATGCTTATGTATAGGTCAAAGATCTGAAGTTTAAGAACTACCCAAAGAATTTATTTCCTTAGGGGGTGTGTCTACAACAGTCAACAGTTAACAGGTATTAAGTTAAAAATAATGTATTTACTGGGGCGCCTGGGTGGCTCAGTGGGTTAAAGCCCCTGCCTTCGGTTCAGGTCATGATCTCAGGGTACTGGGTTTGAGCCCTGTATCGGCCTCTCTGCTCAGCAGGGAGCCTGCTTCCCTCTCTCTCTCTCTGCCTATCTCTCTGCCTACTTGTGATCTCTGTCAAATAAATAAATAAAATCTTTAAAAAAAATAATAATAATAATGTATCTACTTAGGCCTAGGAGTGAAGCTTACTTCAGTTAAAAATAAGAAAAATACAATTCTAATACATGACCTGTTTTCTTATACTTTTTATCTATAAAAATATATATTTTAAAAATAAAACAGTGATTCAGAAAACATTTTTATTTAAAATAAAATATATAAGTTTGAACAGTTTTCCACACTGAGCCACAACATATGCATGGTTCATGAAATCAGTTTGGTGGTTTGTGATCAGTATTTCTTTTTAATAATAAATAGAAGAATGTCAGAGAGTACTACATGAAGTAATGATTAAGTATTGCCTCCTCGAACAACAGTTATGTATGGAAGGATATGTATGCTGGTTAGATTGTAGAAAATGTATTTTGTACTCTGAGTCACCTTTAAAAAACTGCGAGCTGCTGAGGCAGAAAAATGAGGAAAAAGTTCTTGAATGTGATTTAATCACCTGCTTCTAAACTGATACATTCTATAACTATGCCTATACATTTCCTTTTCCTTTTTCATGTTATTCTCACCCACATAAGCCTCAAACTTGCCCACAGCGCCAGCCTACTCCACTCAGTTCTCTGCTGCCAATCAGTGAAGGTGTCACGGGGTACACCTATTGCTAAGCAGTAAGCACCAGTTGTCCATGAACTCTTCGTCCCCACCAGTCCTCCCAGGCCTAGCGCATGCTCCCTGAAAAATCACTCCTGACTCCCGCAGGCAAGGGTTTTTCTCTGGACAAACAATTACCAACTCAGTGGGATCTTCCAGTCTAAAAAGTTCTCTTGCTTCCTTTCCCTTGCTATGTCCTCTTTCTTGGGCCGGGACTAATTGCTACTTTCTTGGAGATTGGATTCCTCTCTAATTTTTTCCATTTTCTAAATTATTTTACATAGAATTGACAATACTAAGGGGGAAAAAAAGGAATGCATTCTTCCCTACAGGTGAAAAAGTATGAAAGGAAAAAAAAAAGAGAGAGAGATTTCTTATCAAACAATGGAAACGGACTGTAGACTCACAGAAAGAAAAATAAGAGACCACAGAAGAGCTGAGAGCAGAATTTAAAGAATCCCAATTAGTGATGTTTAAAACCAAAGGAGGTTTGTGAGTCCGTGCTTGCTTTTATTACCTACTCCTGGGTGTAGGGCAAATGGTACAAATGACTCTCAGCCCAAATCTGCAGCCAAGAATAAGGCTGATGAGGCAAGTTTTCTGCATCTCTACACTCCATCTGCACAGATATTTTTGTGGTGAAAAAGTGCTTGATAAATCAACACATTTTTTATACTTTTTTCTTCTTAAAATTGCAACTTAAACTAAAAAATTTAAATACAGTATTGGAGCAATTAACAAGTCTATTTTTAACTTTTTTTTTTTTTTTGGATGGAAGCAGCATAGCTTACTGGAAAGAGCACTGATTTCAAAGCCAGGAGGACCTGGGCTCAAATCCCAGCCATTCCACTGACTAGCCTGTGACCTTGGCAAAATTACTTCTCCTGGAACCCCATCTTTATCTGTCTTTTAGGGGTAATCTACAGAATTAAATGAAAAACAGAGCTTACTGTGCATAGCACCCACAAACCACAAATCTAACTTACCTTTCTGCTCAGACTACGCTCCTATCAATACCAGTAACAACATGGTTACGGTTACTGCAATACTTCTCAATTGAAAATGGACTGGAAAAAAAGAGGGGATAGAAAGAGGGAAAGGTAGGGGTGCCTGGCTGGCTTAGTTGGTACAGTATACAACAACTCTTGAGCTCAGGGTCACGAGTTCAAGCCCCACATTAGGTGTGGAGATTACTTAAAAATAAAATCTTGAAAATAAAAGAAAAAAGAAAGAGGGAAAGGGAGTAGATGGCCCTCAAAGGATGAGCTTGGGGCTTTTGGAAGAGAACAGGCAACATACAGAGTACATGTGAATAAATATGTTTATACTCATGATTCTGAAATAATTGATACTGAAAATATTTGTCCAAATGGCTTGTGTCTCTAGAACCACAAAATTAGGAAGCTGTTTTAGGAAACCCCATAAGTTTGGTCACTGATGAATGGTACATTTACAAACATTATCCTAAAATGTCAGACTTTTACTGTATGATGGCATCTTTGGGTTTTCAAATATCTTAAACTGAATATACATAGTTTTTTTTCAACAAGGTATTTATAATCACTTTTAAATTAAGATAAATGGAGTTTATACTATAGTTGTGACTTCCTATTAGTTAATTATCTAAAGGCTTTCACAAAAAAATTACCAAAAAACAAATTTTTTAAAAGCTTTTTTTTTTAAAGATTTTTATTTATTTATTTGACAGAGAGCACAAGCAAGCAGAGAGGCAGGCAGAGAGAGAGGAAGGGAAGCAGGCTCCCTGCTGAGCAGAGAGCCCGATGCGGGGCTCGATCCCAGGACCCCGGTATCATGACTTGAGCCGAAGGCAGAGGCTTAACCCATTGAGCCACCCAGGTGCCCCTAAAAGATTTTTTTTTAAAGTAATCTCTACACCCAACATGGGGCTCAAACTTACAATCATAAGATCAAGAGTCGCATATCTAATGACAAGCCACCGAGGTGCCCACAAAAATTTTTATCATCATAATCAAATCAAAATTAAACTCATGATGTTGTCTACAAAAGATATGATCCTTGCCTTTTAAAACAATCTAAAACTGCTTTAACATATACCCAAGAGATTAGCAAATATTTTAAAGTCTGAAAATATTAAGTGTTGCTAAAGACAGAAAAAAATTATGATGGGAAAATAAATTGGTAAAATTACTTTGGAAAGCAATCTGGCACCACCCACTAGAATTGAATGTGCTAATACCCTACAATCCAGCAACCCCACACCTAAATTTGAATTAGACATTTGCACCAAGAGATATGGAAGAAGTTAATGATAGTAATTTTTTAGAAATAAGCAAGGATCTTATAATAACCCCAATGTCTGTAAATACAAGAAGAAATCAACTGTAGAATATCTATAAAATGGCAGACTATAGAGTCATGAATATAAGTGAATTAAGCCACATTTTGGATGAATCCCAAAAACATACTGAGCTAAGAGAGGAAGTCATAGTAAAATTATATCACTTATGTAAATTTCAAAATCAAGTAAAACAACATATCGTTTATAGATACATATGGTAAAATTCTAAGAAAAGCAAAAGAATTGTTAATACAAAATGCAGGACAAAGGTTACCTCTGTGGTGGAGGGAGTAAGCTATAACCCAGAACGTGTGATGGTTTCAATTATTTTGTGAGATAATTATTTATTCTTTTGTGATGACATACTTGACAATAAGGTTTTTTTTTCTTTAAAGACAGAACACAAAAACTAAGTCACAGATGGAAACCTGCATAAAGAGCAAATCATAAGAGCCAAATTTATGAACTAAGAATACACACACTTCTTCACATTTAATATGAGATCCTGGCCTTTACACAAATAATTCTACATTTCGGAAAAAATTGAATGAGAAACTTAAAACTCATCCCAAAAAGTCTTCATGCTACTTTGTGTATCTCGACATTTCCCTAAGAAGGTGATACCTTCAACGATTGTGTATGAAGTTCCCAATTATCTGGTCTCCAAACTTGAAAAAGTCTTCCTAAGTACATGCAGCAAACAATTTTAACTTTTCTATATCCATATACCATAAGAATGGGCAGTTTTATATTAGCACTAACCCCTGCTCCGGAAAAAAAAAAAAGAAGCAAAACGGATGATCAATGCACACTCTCGGGTAGAATGGTCTCATGTGGAGGGCTGGTTTTTGAAACCCTTCCTTTTACCCCGGTCTACTATCTTGCATTATGCGTGAAAACACTTTGGAATGAAAACAATTACATATCTAAAATGATGCATTCTCTCCTCTCAACAATGAAAATCACTAATTACCGGGGGCTTCACAAGGCAGGTAGGTGCATGGGATATAGCTGACAAACCTCAATGGGAAATAGGGAACTGCCTCCAAGTGAAGAAACTACAAATACGGAGTTTAAATTTTCTTTTATTTTGCCTTTTCTTGAATCCGACACTTTTCAATTTCCTGATCGTGGCACCAAGCCAACCACCCTTTTAAACCCCCAACTTGTTCCTCAAGTCCCCCATTCCCTTCCTTCTCCAGCACCGATGCCCACTCTCCACGGCGCCTCCGTTCGGCCTTCGCCTCTGCACAACCCCTCACCAGATTGCCAGGAACAACAGTGTTCCTCTTCTGGTCCAAACCTCCAGATCCCCCGACCTCTGAACACCACACCTGCTCCAGCCGGGCGGGTCCAGGGCTCCGACCTCCACGCCCATCGGACCGCACCCACACAACCCCCCGCTCCCCTCGCTGCCGCCCTCTCGGCCCTTCCCTTGGTCCCGCAGCCTCAGGGATTCGCCCCCCCCAACCCCCTTTCTCCACCGAGCTTCCCCCTCACTGCACCTGTAGCCCGGCCCTTCACCCAGCCATCCCCTCACTGCGGGGCCTTTCCGGCGGAGCCCACCGGCCCCCGCCACCCGAGCCCAACCCAACCCAGTCCGGCCCGCTAGGCCCCGACACCAGGCCCCGTGGCCTCTGCCGCCCCTTCTCCTCACCGTGCCCTCTCCGGGGCTCTCGTCTCTGGCCCCCTCCGCTTCCTCACCGACCGCAGACTGCAGCCCCGCATCGGGATGGCCCAGCGGCTCTAGGGGCGCTGGCTGCAATTGCCGCTCGGGATCCCGAGGTGCCTGCTCCATGGCTGCAGTTTGACTCCGCGGCTCCAATGCGCTTGCGCCGTCGCGCAGCGCGCCCCGCCCCGCCCCGCCCCGCCTCCCGGCCCCGCGGCGGTTTCCCGGGGACTGAGATCCACGCAGCTTCCCGCCCGGGGCGGATGCGGGTAGGCTTCCCTACTTAGGAAAAAGTTAGCTGCTAGCCCGGGAGACCCGGAAACCCGGGAGAACTGATTGAGGGAGATAAGGGGAGAAAGGCAAGGGGAAGAGCAGAGTAGACACTGAATCGTTCCGGCGGGCGAGCGCCTAGAGAAAAATTGCGTTAGAAGAAATCGGGAGACCGCGGTCTGATCTTCCCGCTCCGAGCCTCGGTCCCTCCTGCCTTGTCGGTTCCACTTTTTTACCCGGAAGGTTCATGGCGCTATAAATTAAAAAACGTTCAGCAGTTCGAGTAACACATTCAGCAAAAGCTAGCGCGTGCAGTTCTGAGAGAAGTGAAGAAGTGAAGCGTTTGGCCAAAGGGTGGCTTGAAATCGGTTGCGTTTCATAAAGCCCTGGCGATCTCTGATCGTTTTCTACGAACCTCTCATACCGAATTTTCAGAACCCGCTTCCTTGACACGCATTCACTATGGTAACCTAATGGGAAATGCTCACTCGGTGTGCCAGGCTGTGTGGTAGTTGGGGGTTCCTTCTATACAAAGTCTGGTCATCAATTTTTCAAGGAGAGAAACTGATCTTTCTGCCGAAATACTTCCAAGCTATGACACACAATTTGCTCTTCCTGGGTTGTATTCTCTGCCCCGCCCCCACCCGGCGAATTTCCCATTCATCCCTAAAATCTCAAGTGGTAATGTCCAAATGCTAATATTACTTTGTTAATTAATGTTAAGACCTTTCTCGTATTATTTTACAATTATTTGTTTATATGTCTTTCTGCCCCAACTGGACTTTGGACTTTTTTAAGGCAAGGACCCTATCTTTTTTTTTTTTTCCCCCTCTTCCTCTGACCAAACCTAGGACCTTTACTCAAATTTCAAAAGGCATTTATATCATCAGTATATCAAGGATTGTTCACGCTAGGCAAATTCTCAGGAAACGTATTTTTAACTCAGAAGATTAATTCATCACAAGAGGGATATCTTCCCAGGAACAGATTTGTAACCGTTATCCTGTGCCATTTTCCCAGTTTCAAGATACTGAAAAAACTAGGTCCAAGAGCCTTTAGGATAATCTCTCTGGGCTGGTGACTTCAGTATCTCATTCTGCAGTGTGTAAGAACGAGGAAAGGAGCTCAAGTTTTGACAAAGCATTCAACCAGGGGAAGCCATAGCGCTAGGTGCTATTTTGGTTGGGGGCGGGGGGAGGCGGGAAGGACTAAAACAGAGTAGGAACAGTCTGTTTCCTCTTCATTCTGAGGGGGAGCAGAATACATGACCCCCAAATAGACCACTTTGGCATGTGCATTATTTTGAGCTAAAAACAATCAAAACCAGAAGAGTCAAGAAAATTACTTTTACCTCTCCCTTAACTACCTAAGAAAGTTCAGGAAGGCCTGGCCCGGAAGGACCGCTATTACCAGAAATGACCCATCTGCATGGCAAAGCAAACATTTAATTATCAAACATCTGTTCTTATGGTCCTATGAATTACCCTACTCTCCTTTGAACCTCCGTCCCTTACCCCATTCCTTAGCTCAGGATGGCATAGAAGCTTCGATTGCCTGACATGTTCATGGGTCTCATAATCTTATGGGGCTCCCATACTACATAATTAAATTTATTTCTCTCCTGTTAATCTTATGTCAATTCAATTAACAGACCAGCCAAAAGAATCTAGAAGAATAGAGGGAAAGTTCCCCCCACCTAGCCCTTTTACAATTCATACCTCCTTTTCTGAGGGGAAAAAAAAAATTCCAAGACTGCCTTTGGTATCAGTTTTAAGTTAGCTCGATATAACTTTGTCTCTATATTTTCTTAAGAGATAGCCTTGGAGAAACCAAATTTGGAAAAACAAGAGGGTACTTGAAGAATCTAAAATGAGGGCAAAGGGATTAGATGGTCATTTCCCCCTCTTATATATACCTATTAAACATGTTCATTGTGGAAAAATTAGAAAATGGTTATGAATAAAAATAATATAAAAGCTCCATACTCCCACACCCAAAGATAAACACTAACATTGAACAACTATCCTTTCAAATATTATACATATATAATAAAAATAGAATCATACTATAATGTTATTTTATAATTTGTTCACTTAATACAGCAAAAACACCTTTCCAGGTGATTATATTTCTAGAGAATCTTCTTAAAGACTACACAGTTTTATTGTAAAGCATTGCTATTAATTCAGGGTGCCTGAGTGGCTCAGTTGATTGTCTGCTTTCCACTTGGTTCATGATCCCAGGGTTCTGGGATTGAGTTTGCATTGGGCTCCCTGCTCAGTGGGGATTCTGCTTGTCCCTCTCCCTCTGCCTGTTATTCCCCACCCTCACCCCTCACTTTTGTCCTCTGTGTCAAGTGAATAAAAATCTTTTTTAAAAAAATACTATAATTTGGGGCAACCATCTGGCTCAGTTGGAAGAGCATGCAACTCTTGATCTCAGGGCTGTAAATTTGAATCCCACCTCAGGTGCAGAGATTACTAAAATAAATAAATAAATAAATAAATAAATAAATAAATAAATAAATAAACTTTAAAAAATTACTATAATTTATTTAATCTTATAATCGGTTATGGTTATATTTTTTATTTTTTTAATATTTTTTAAGATTTTAACTTTTTTAGAGATTTTATCTTACTTAATTGAGGCAGAGAGAACACGAGCAGGGGAGAGAGGGAGAGGAAGAGGGAGAAGCAGTCTGTTCAGACTCCTCACTGAGCAGGAGCCTGATGCAGGGCAGGGCTCCATCCCAAGACCTCTGGATCATGACCCAAGCAGAAGCCAAATGCAGAACCAATGGAGCAGCTACCCAAGTGTCCTGACACTTCACAATGTTTAGTACATTTTGTAAACTATTGATTCTCTGAGCTACATTGATCATTTTCCAGAATAATCTTAGTCTGAGAGGACCTCTGAGGTAATACCTTACCTGTGATCTCCAGTTTTGGTTATTTACAAAGGGAAAAATCTCAAGAGTGGAAAAATGCCCTCCATTTCCCACTCACCTCAGGGATGATGGCCCAGGTTAGTGGTTTCTGGAATTAATCATCTCACTCAGACCTTTGCGGCTTCCCCACTTTTCCTACCTAACCAAACGAAGGGGCAAGTAGTGAGGTGGCTCAGAGCTGCCACCCTGACTAAGATTATTAGTCGTGGGGCAGCTGCTTGTGTGAGAAAACTAAATTTATATCAGTTTTAAGCATTCATATTTCAGATGGAATCTTCTATTCAGAACTTCTGCTACCATTTGCCCCATGCTATGCTGCCTGCTACCGTAGAACGCATTGGCTGTCACTTGTCAGAGGCATGGTCCTCCCAAGGGGATCCTACTTCGGCCATCCATCCCTCAGGGAGTGGTGATTGCCGGGGCATCACTGAAAGGGGAGGACACTCAGCAGGACTGAAGTGAGGGCAGGAAGCAGCACCCACAGTCTTATCTATCTGCCCAATGAGTGGCCTATTTAATACATATCAGAAAAGTGAGCAAGAAACAGGCAAGAGACGGGCTGTAGTGACTGATCATCTTTGGAGATCTTCTCCATTGGTGCGATTGTTCTGAATACCAGAAGTAATTTCGAGTAAATAAATGTATACTCTGTTGCCCTGTGTTGGGGCTAGCTCTGTTTTCCCCAGACTTGGGGACTTTCTGCGCCCTCCTTCCCACACACTCATCCACCCCTCCATTGAAAGCTGACTTTTCTCTGTTCCAGCACCACTCACTTGTTTACTAACCCTACATGTCTATCTCCCGCTCTAGGCCAATGAACTCAGTAAGAGCAGGGCCCTGTCTCACTCCTCTTTGCAACCGGATGCTCTGGGCCCTCTGGGCTGGAGGGGGTATTCAGCACTCAGCTACTGAATGAACGAATGTGTCGGGGGGATGGGAGGGGTGTACAGAAGAAAACAAGCAAAGATATAATAACCAGCTGCATTTTTACTTATTAAAGCCAGTCAGATGCCTGGTCTCCTGCCCATGGTAGCTCCCCTCCAGCCTCCACAGACATCTCCTCAACCTGAATTCTCCCCAAAACTGCATGGGAGAGGGTAGGGGAGAATGGGTGAAAGCCAAGAGGGACCCTCCTCCCCTCCCCCCTCCTCAGTAGTCTTGGTACCATGAGGACCCAGCTTGGTCCCCGTGTGCCAATCAGTTCTTCCAGGAAAAAGAGGCAGCCCTTGGGAGAGGCAAGAGGCGGGCAGTCACCATGTCCCTTTCTGCAGCCAGGCCTAGCTGACGGGTCAGAGCTGGCAGCTCTGAGCCACCTCACTACTTGCCCCTCCCTTTGGTTAGGTAGGAAAAGTGTGGAAGCTGCAAAGGTCTGAGTGGGCTGATTAATTCCAGAAGCCACAAACTTGGGCCATCAGCCCTGAGGTGAATGGGAAATGGAGGGCACTTTTCCACTCTTGAGATTTTTCCCTTTGTAAATAACCAAAACTGGAGATCACAGGTGAGGTATTACCTCAGAGGTCCTCTCATCCAATGCCTTCATTTTCCTGATAAAGGCAGTGGAGCCTAGCGAGGCTGATAACTTGGCCACAGTTACTACTAACAACTGGTTAGTAGCAGAGCAGTGGTCAGGACAGACCTCTCCCCCTGCAAACTTGGACTGAGGGTATTAAAAACAAAATTCAAACTGAGTAAATTTAAAGATCAAATTGGCTTTATTCAATGATTCATGAATCAGGCAGCATCCCATATCGCAAACAGAAAGGAAAGCCAAAGGGCTAGACAAAATGGCTACTAGTGCTGACCAGAGAATTCCAGACTGACTGGTTAAAGGTCACATTCCTGGGAGAGACTAAACTGCAGTTAGGTTAGGTAAAAGTCTTGGTTTGCTGATAGGGGCTTAGGACAAGTGACTCCATTTGGGGCCTGTTTTTTGTTTGT